TCTTTCTTTCTTCCTTTTTTTTTTTTTTTGCGTTACCAGGTATCAAGCTTGGTTCCTTGCACTTGCGAGGCAGGTAGCAGAACCACTGAGCTAAATCCCTGGCCCTCGTGAGCCATTTCTAATTGTGGAGGTTTTGTTCTTGCTGGGTTTGGAGGTTCTGTATATTTTGTTTTAGTGATGGGGGATTCAATTCAGGGCCTTTTAATTGAGCTACTTTATTTCTGGAGACACAGTCTCACTAAGTTGTTCAAGCTGGGCTTGAACTTGCAATCCTCCTTCCTCGGCCTCCCAAGGTGCTGAGATGAGAGGCATGCACCACCACACCCAGCTGCTGCTACTATTTTTTTAAATAGGTAATATAGTCACATAGCTCAGAAGTCATAACATGGAAGGAAATGTAATGAAAAGTCTTTCTCTCATCCCTGTGTCCCAGCTACTAATTCTCCTCCCAGGAAGTAGGCATTATGACTGGTTTCTTTTCTTTCCCTTCATCTGGTATTTTATGCCTATACAAACAAAGATACATGCACACATTCTTTTCTACCTTTTCTTCTTTGTACCAGGGATCAAACTCGGGACCTTGCACTTGGGAGGCAGATGGCAGCACCACTAAGCCCTCCTACCTTTTAAACTAAAGAAGTAACAGTGTACCGTGCTTTTTTTATAATATATGTCAGAAATCATTCTGTCAGTATATTAATAGCTTCCTTGTTGATTTTAAAGCTATGTATTATTTGTGGATGCAGCCTATTTTATATAAACATGTAGGCTGTCTCTGTCTTTTGCAGTCATACATACAGGGCTCTAAATAATAAATCTGTATGTGCGTCTTTATAAATGCAGTGGTATCTGTGTATATCAGATCCTCAGATGTGAAACACCTGGGACAGGGAGTGTGGCACTGTCCCATCACCCTCTGAGCGACAACTGCTTGCCTTCCCGTTACCAATTCAGGAGCACATCTGTTACCAACAAGGGTTCAAACCGTTTAGTGATCTTTACCGAGTGCCCTGCTTTTTTTAATAGAAATAATGTCAGCTTAGAGTTTTGCTAAAATGGGGAGTTTGGCAGTTGACCCCAGTGTTCCAGACAGCTCCAAGTTCAATAGAAGGGTTGGAAGGTTGGGGAGGAGACCCTGGTGAGGCTGGGGAACTACAGAAAGCTATGTCCTTTCGTGCACCACCCTCTCCAAGAGGGACCTAGTGTTGCTCCTAAAACAGGCATCATGAAGGTCTTTATGCTGGTCTTCAGACTCTGGAAAGCCTTCATCAGAGCCTTCTGCTCGATTGTTGGATGACCAGCCTCGCCGCAGAAGCAGCTCACCTCCATCCCATTTCAGTGCACGTGAGCACACTGAATCAGGCCGTCCCACCCAGTCCCAGAAGTCAGGAATCCATCCCTGGGAATGGAGGGCAGCACAGGAAACACTTCCTCTCTTAATGGTACCCCCACCATCCTCCACACTGCTTTTCCCAGTGCCAAGTCCCAGAACACAGGACACTCAGTCCGTGTGTTCACATAGGGCACCTTGAGGGGACTGTGCAGGGGGCTGACACAGCTTCCTTGTGCTCAGGGAAGCATGAGAGGTAGTGATGGATACTAGGGCCTCCTGGTAAAGTGATATGCAGTGTAACAGCCACAGGACAACAAGTGCTGCCTCAGCTGAGGACCAGGGACCCCCCCACACCTGTGCCATTGTCAGCAGCTGGGTCTCTTCCTTACCAGCACATGTACCCTAGACTGTAGCATCCCATGCACCAGATTATTCTTGTTTTGATCCCCTTTGTTGTCCTACTCATCTGTGTTATTTGCCTTGATGAAGCATTCTTGGAGTTGGCATCTACTGATGAATATATTCTTAAGTCAAAAGAATACATTCCCAGTCCAAGTGTATTTAGTGTCTGAATCCAAATGCATTCAGCATGACTCACTTCCCCCACCTTCCCACAGCTAGATAATTACAATATTCTTTTGGAAATGTCCCCTGCACACCTCAGGATTTCAGCAGTGGCCTCAGCAGGGGTTGGGGGGTGTTTCAGTCTCAGAGTCACCTCCATGGGAGGCTGCAGCACGTTCCTTGATTAACTCACAAGTGGTTTGAGAGGTATTTTCCATTTTTCTATTCTTACTGCATTTTGGAGGTTTATCAAATATACGCAAAGAGGTCCCCAGAGGAAGTGCATGCCCTCCTGAAATCCTTCGGTACTGACTATGTGATCCTGGAAGACAGCATCTGCTACGAGCGCAGGCACCACCGGGGCTGCCGGCTGCGGGACCTTTTGGACGTTGCCAATGGACACGTGAGCATGTCGCCTTACACAGTGGGAAGCCCTTAAAGGGAGTGGGATTCCAGTCATTTGAATCCTGAAATATTTTTACTGTGGATGTATGTGTGTGTGTACATGTGTACTTTTTATACTATACACCTTTTTTTATAGATACAAAAGGCTCAGGGCCTTGACACTGAGCTACATCCCCAGCCCTTTTTTATCTTTTATTTTGAGACAGAGACTCATTAAATCACTAAATTGCCCAAGCTGGACTTGAACTTAGAATCCTCCTGCCTAAACCTCCCAGAGTACTGGGATTTAGGTGGGCAGCAGCCTATTACACTGGTATCGTAAATCAGGTCCTCTGTCCTCTCCATTCTGCAGAACCCCTGCCATAGCCTTTAGTGACTAGCACAGGGGCCAGGTGAGGGGTGAGGGGACCTCTGGGTCCCCAGGTCTGTATCACACAGCAGGTCTGTCTTTGGCCGGTTGGCATGATATGGCTCTGCATAAAATTTATTTTGGGGGGACTCTGCTGCTAAAAACAAAGCTTTAGCCTCCAAGCACTGGCTCATTCACGGGAGCCTGGCAGCAGGTCACTCCCTCTCTCCAGTACAGGGTCTGCTCTTCTTGCTGTTCCTTCTCCCTCTGCTCTCTCAGGGTGTCCTGCGTCCCATGTACAGAGCCACAGGGGTGGCCTTCTGTGACTTAAGTTTGCACTCCAGAGCTGAAAAACAAGCTGTGTATCTCTCCTTTCTCCCTCTAAGGAAAAAGCTTTTGAAGCTGTGCTGGTTCTTGCATAGGAATGTCCCCCCTTTAGAACTAGGGCTCATAGTGGGTATAAAAGCCAATGGTTGTGTGTAAATGGATGGGATAAAGTGACAAACCTAGCCTAAACCTGAAAACAAATCAACGATTTGAGATTCAAATTTTTGCCCAAGAAAAATAATATTAACTTTCTTGGATTCAGAGCCAGCAAAGACTAATGACATGCATTTAAATTTTGCTTTGTGTATGACTTTTTCTCACTTGTGCATCTGATGATTTGGAAAACTCTCTAGTTAGAGTAGTTCTGTGTGTTTCATTTCTGTGAGAGGGACAATATGTAGGACATTAAGAAGAAGGAGATACAAGTTCTAGTTCTGACTTTGCTGTTAATAGTGACCATTATGTGATGCTCAACTCTCCTTCCCAGTATTGGTCTGCATTACTGAAGAGGAAGAAGGATGAACCACCTGATATTTAGTAGCCACTGACACTGAAATAATATTTTTAAGGAAACCCAGTACTTGTGAGATACGATTACCTCACATGTGATCATATGGTGATATGATGGTTATTTTTAAAATTCATTACAGTAAAAGATACATTGCCATTGATCCTTTACAAGATACACCCCTTGCTTCAAGCACACTTATCCCATCATTCTTACTACATTCTTTCTTTTGTTGTTGTTTGGTACCAGGGATTGAACTTGGGTCATTTCGCTTGCAAGGCAGGCAGCAGAACCATTGAACTAGATCCCCAGCTTTTCTTACTACTTTCTGTTTTGTTTTTGTTTTTTTGTTTTTTTTTTTTTTTTGGTACGGGGGATTGAACTTGGGACCTTGCATTGTGAGGCAGGCACTGGAAGCACTGAGCTAAATCCCTGGTCCTCTTACTACTTTCTGTCTTCTTTTTGTTTTGTTTTTGTTTTTTTGTTTTTTTTTTTTTTTTGGTACGGGGGATTGAACTTGGGACCTTGCATTGTGAGGCAGGCACTGGAAGCACTGAGCTAAATCCCTGGTCCTCTTACTACTTTCTGAAGGAGTTCTAGAAGTTCTCTTTCATGGGAGTCTTTGGTTGCACTGTTGGGGCTGTCTTAGTGTCTTAACCCACTCAAAATGGACAGTGTTTATGGTCAGTTTACTTTTTCATGCTCAGTTTCACTTTGAGGAAGAGCCAAAAGTCAGCTACCAGATCTGGTAGATAAGGTGGATGATGACACACTATAAAGTTTTAGTTTTTTGTTTTTGTTTATTTGACAGAAATTATCATAATTGGTTGATTGAAAAAAAAAACTACAGTGAATGCTTAAATTAGAAAAGAGACTATTACAGTAAAAGATACATTACCATTAATCCCTTTCAGAAAACTCAGAATACTCTCTTCTTGAAATATACTTTCGTTCTTGGCAATGTGTCTTTTCCTGTATTTTTTAAACTTCAGCATTCACTGTATTTTTGTGTTCCCACTTCCTGCTGTCTTTTACAAGTATGTTTTATCCCCAGATTGAAGGTGGGTTTGTTTTCGGTTTAGACGATGGATGGCCCAGGAGAGAATGATCCCAATTTGAAGCCTGCAGACCACCCTCGCTTCTGCGAAGAAATCAAAAGAAACCTGCCTCCCTACATGGCACACTTTACCAGGGTGTTCCAAAACAAGACGTTTCACGTCTACAAGCTGTCCAGGAACAAGTAGCAGACATTCCTGCCCTTCTGTGTTTTGGACAGAGTGAAACTGCGTTGTAAGGGAAGTTGTTAGCTGATGATTCTGGGGTGAGTGGGTTCCTGGTACCCAAAAGCTGTGATGTGCAAACATCCTGCAGCTGTTTACACAGGTGTCCCCATCTTCCACAAGTTGAAGTCTTTCTTGTCTTATCTTTGTCTTCATTAGTCTAAATGTTCACAACTTCCTGTGACTCACCTAGGATTTGGCTGGTGGTCGGTAGTGTGTGTTCCAGAACGGCCTGGACAGCTCCATACCATGCTGACCAAGAGAGCTTGAAACACTTTTGATTGTCAGTTAACTTACAAGGCAACTCTGAGCGGAATGGAAAGGATGCATATTTAAATTATTTAATATTATTTCACTAGTGAAGACCAACTGGTGGCTTTTTAAAAAAGCTCTTTGTTGTCCTTTTTCATCTTACAATTTAATAATGTTTTCCAATATTCCTGGTTTTAACATGAACAACAACAAAAAATCATGTTAGGTCTTTGTATGTATCGTAAACATCACGTAGTACTCTCGCATACATTATATACCCAGTAGTCTGTGTCGTACATTGACAGAGTGTTTTAATGCTGGGCACAGAAAAAGTGTTACAAGTTCTGTATGGTTCATTTCTCAGAAGTCTATGTAGCCAGATAGAATTTGTTACTTTTAAAAACCTGATACTCTTTAATCTCTCCTGCAAGTAAAACAGTTTGCTTCATTTCTTACTCATTTCAATTTACTGGGTTTGCAAAATTTTGTAAACTTTTTGTGTTTTTAGCCTTTGTATTTTTTACAGCCTAGATCCTTGCAAAGTCTGAATATTTTTTAAACGTGTATCTTGACTAGTTCACTAATGCAGTATTTTGGGCAGACAGCATTTTCAACCAAGTTCGACTTTGGTCTCCAATCTTACACTGTGGGCCCTGGTAATGTTATTCTTTTCCTCTCTAGAAGGTAACCAAGTGCCTATATAAGTCATGCTTATTTGTAACAATGAAGATTATACATACCTGCTCAAAATTTTTGATAATTGCTTTTATAATTCATTTCTAATGATTAGGGACATGTAAAAGTTGCTGATAAAAGCATATTGTCCATTTAATTATATCAAGCTGGCTAATGAAATTAACTTTCTCCCCTGTTCTTGCCAGTTGGAAATGATTTAAATGTTTCTCCTTGCAGTTGTATTGAAGTAAATTGCCATTGGCATCAAGATGGATGTCACATGTTTGAATGATTCTGTATTCAGTTACTACTTATTAAGCAGTGTTCAAAAACATTTTTACACTGTCCTGTTGAACACAAGGATATTTGGCTTTTACCAAAACTTATTTAAATAAAAATTGGCAGTAGCTGCGTTATTAAATTATGCAACTGAAGCTCCGGAATTATATCTTTCCTGTATTCCTTAATAAGGTTGGAGACCACTGCAGTTTAGGGTAATACAATAATAAAACATTTTAATCAGTACTAAAACTTTAATTAAGCCAGTAATGATGCATGCCTGTTGTAGCTGACAGCATGGGTCAGTACATCCTTCGGCGGTGCCTTACTCTAATTGAAACCAAGCACATGTAAGGTACACTATGTTGACACTATGTGATTTTGGTTTTTTTACAGACTCTGTTACTTTTCCAGGCCTATTTAAATTTATTTTAAATATTCCTGTGTGTATTAGTCTTAAGTATTTGGAGTCTCAGTATACAAGAAATATGTACTTCAGTTTGTATGCTTACCATTGCCATGTTAATGGCATACACTCATTATTTTTCATAGTGACCTTGTTGCCGAAACATTTAGTGTTCAGTCTTTAGTGAAAAATATAAAGTGCCAAAACAATATTGCAAGACAGAATCCATATATACACTCTTTCCAAGACACTGTGACCATGCACAATAGAAGTTTTTATTTCCTGATGACCAAATTTCCCAACGAATCATGTAGATATTTTTAGCTCTTGTCCGGCTTCTTGTTTATGACCCTCTTGTTGGAGTACACAGGAGGAAGCAGGAGAGCATCTGGTCTGGCTGTGGCTTCCAACCTCTCTGCAAGCCGAGCAAGAGCTCTGTGGCCTAAACTCCCCACCGCATAAGCCTAGCAGGCTGTCTCATGTTTGGTAATAACCTCAAATTATGGATAGAAACACCATCTGATTTTGCTCCTGGGTTAGCTTTCGAAAGAACCCATAAGTGCAGTAAAAGTGCTTATAATTGGCTCCACTTGCGGCTTCCCAGAGCACTGAAGTCTCTACCCCTCCATGGGCTTCCTGCCCAAGCCCCACACAGCAGGCAGAGGGCACAGCCAGGCAGCCACTTGCACCCCTCAGTGCTCTTGCTCCCTGCTTCCTTTGGATACTGGTACAGAGCTTTCCCTGTGAGTCCTTATTGTGAGCACACACAGTCAGCTGTGTCTAAAGTGTGGGTGTAAAAAGAAAGTTATTTTTGCAAAAATTAAGGTGAATGCTTTGGTAAGATTTGATAAATTCTGAATGGCTAAAAAAATTGCTTTTCAGTTTATCATGATTAGGAAAATTTTATAATATTGGGGGAACAAATCAAAATTTATCTAGGTATTCATTCCACTTTTAAATGCCTAAACCAATAGGAAGGTGTTAAAATGTACCCAGATCATGTTGTTAGTGTGATTTATGCAAGAAGTAGAACTGCAATCACTGGATTGTTATGCAGAGGAAAGTCCTTGGCTTCACATCAAAATATTAGAAAATGGGCTGGGGATTTAGCTCAGTGGTGCTGTGCCTGCCTCTCAAGCACAAGGTCCCCAGTGCTGAAAAAACAAAACAAAAAAACGAAAACCTCCTTTCTTGCGGGGGGGATGTGGCTCAGTGGCACTGCGCCTGCCTGGCAAGTGTAAGGTCCTGAGTTCAATCCCTGGTACCAAAAAAATTAGAAAATGAATGGTTAGGGGTGCAGCTCAGTGACAGAGCACTTGCCTCCTGTGTGCAAGGCCCCGGTTCCCATGCCCAGCACCAGGACAGAAATACATACATTATGCTTCCCTGTTTTAACCTGCTTAATTAAATGACCGTCTACTGGTAATAATCACAATAAAAATTCTATCCAAGTTGAAGGATCCCCATCACTTTTATTACAGGCTTTTGCAGAGTAACTGTTCATTTCAGATGTATTAGTTACGAGGTTAGTTAATAAGGAGTGATCTAGGCCATTTGCTGTCTCTTAAAGATGATTTTCCTGACCTGTGTGAGTCCAGTTCAACTTAGTAAATTTGTGTGTGTGTGTTGGGTAGGTGCTGCTAGGGACGAGGACATGTATAGATATTTCATCTGATCTGCATCTTTATTTCACAATTAACTGAATGTAAAAATTTTTTAAATGTGTATACTGATTCCACATTAATTTTAATTTTGGCTCATTCTTGACCAAAATTTACCTGAAGTAATATAGAAATATTTAATTTTTAAAATTTAATTCAGACCTTGGCATTCATAGGAAGATATTAAAGTTTTCTCAGATAATGTATCTTGGTTAATGTGCCCCCAGATATTTTGTACACGATAACCTTTTAGCCTAGGAGAGAGTGATTGTTCTTGGAAAAAAAGCTTTGCAGGTGAGAGTGTGGTTCACTCTCCTGTGGTAGTTGAGGTTCTGTTTTTAAAATCCTATGGGTAAAATCTTACAAAGAGCTTTTATAATTTGTTGTACTGAATTGTATGGAGATTATATACTAAATAAAGCTCTTTTAGATTATACAAAATGAGTGTCTTTCATTTCTTTGAGGGTCAAAAACCAAAGAACCTACTTTCCTGGGAAGGAGGGGTTGAGGCAAGATCTCACTACGTAGTATGGTCTGGCCTTGAACTCACTATGTAGCCCAGGCTGGTCTTGAACTCACAGTGATGCTCCCGTTTCAGCCTCCTGAAATCTGAGATTATAAGTGGGTGCCACCACATCTGGCAGGGACCTCCTTGTTGAAACGCATTGCATATGTGCAAAATAGAGTAAATCACTACAGATGGGTGTGGCAAAATCTTCACTGTATTTACAATGTTGAAGGAGTTTGTTTCTTCATGTGAATTTTTGTTCGATTACTGCTTGATTTTATTTGAATTTTAAGGTCATTGTTAGATTTCTAAAAAGAAAGTTGCTGTCGGTAGAATTTATCCTCAAAGATATAAGTCCTATTTGTTTTTACCTTAACAGTTTTATGTCATTACTGTCATTTTTTTGCAATTCAGGAGGATGGATAGTTTACATTTTTGGTAAGAGTATATAGATAACAAAGGCACTTGACTGTTGTTCAAGATAGAAGTTGACATTTCAAGCAGAAATGACCAGAAAGATAAACAGAAAAAACTGGCAGTGGGATCTCAAATATCTGTATGAATGAGTGGGTTATAATACAGGAAGAATCATAAATAATTCAGTTAAATGCAACTATGAATGGCCTGAACACGTAATGGATTGGCCTGAAACACCAGTCACTTGGTGGATGAAAGGCTTTTTCTCTGCCCCTCTCTTCAGAAAAGGTACCTAAAACTCATGAACTTTTCAGTTAATGTAGTATTTAGAAGTTTGTTTCTTAGGGTTATTTTCAAAATGCAGATAATATAACTAACAGGGTAATGTGAAATCAATTTGGTGGATTATAGCCAACATTTAAAAGAAAGGCAGGGAAGTAAGATGAGTCTACATGGTAAATGTGTTGTTCAGGTCAATATTTGTCTCAGTTATGCATGTATGTATTAGTGTATCAGGGACAGTACAAAATGTATTTCTTACTGTGGATTAATTCAACCTAGCCTTGAACGCACAGTGATCCTCCTGCCTCAGCCTCTGGAGGGCTGGGTTTATAAGCATGTGCCACCATACCCAGCACATTTGATTTTTAATTTCTTTTAAAATATATTCTGGGGGCTGGGGATTTAGCTCAGTGGTTCCAGCGCCTGCCTCTCAAGCACATGGGCCCGAGGTCGATCGCCAGTACCAAAAAAAATAAATAATATATATAATTCTGAAATATTTATAAGGCAAAATTACATATCCAGGATTTGCATCAAAATAATGGGGGCATCTAGATGAAATAAGATTAGCCATGAATGATATGGTTTAAATTACTTTGTACTTTTTCCTAACGACAAGAGGGAAACTAGAACCAACCAAATAAACCAGGAAACTAAGAAGACTTAAAATATAAAAATCTGAAATCAATCAGAAATAATAAAAAGGATAAATCAAAACTTTTTAAATAGATGTCTTGTAAATCTAACCAAAAAAATAGCAAAATTATAGAATATTAGGAATATGAAAGGACACAATCCAAAAATAGGAATGAAAAAATTACATGAGAATAATGTATGCAATTCTGTGAACAAATATAAAATTATAATTAGAAATTGCCAGATGGCCCTCAAAGAAATTAAAAACAAATAGATAAAACCTATGGAATACCTGACTAAGGATTCAGAGGTCACAAAGGACATTTGGACAAGACTACGGTGAAAATGTTTCTGAAGAAGAGCTGGGCACACGATGTCAGTCAGCAGTAGAGTACTTACCAAGCATAGGGAGGCCCTCAGTTTGATCTCCAGCAACATGGGAAGAGAGGGAGGGAGTCCAAATTTAACCTTTCTCAACCATTGAATAATAGGGAAAGCATTCAAGTTTGTTTCAGGAAGCTAGTCTGGTTTTAACACAGCAACTTGACTCAATAATGTAACGACAAATTATCACAATCTTTGTGGCTTCCAACAATACACACTTAAGATCAAGGTTTCCTGGGTCAGAAGTCTGAAGACAGGGCAACTAGGTCCCCTTCTGGGTCTCTCAAAGCTGAAGTCAAGAATCTCTAGTCCCTAGGGCCGTGGATTTAGCTCAGTGGTTCTGCCGCCTGCCTTGCAAGCATAAAGACCTGAGTTCAATCCCCCGTACCAAAAAAAAAAAAAAAAAAAAAAAAAGAATCTCTAGTACCCACCTGCACAATGTGTGACACAGGTCTGAGAAAAAAATACACTAGGAGAACTAAGAAAAAGCAGGGTTCCAGGATGACCAATGCCAGTGTAACCAACAAAGGCCCTGGCCAGTCCCAAGCACTGACTTTTATTGGCAGTCAGTTGGGTTAAAGGCAATGTGTGGTTTCTATGGAAATTAATGTAAATAAGGCTTTAAAGGACAAGACAAAGCATTCTTGAATTAGGAACAGAATAGACATGATGGTAATTAGAACATTGTCCTTCTAGTCAGAAGGTTTTAGCTGTGGAAACAAAATTTGGGTCTGAGTTACTTTGACATCGGCACATAGGCTTTGGCCATTTGTGGGTTTAACTCTTTATAGCCTGCTATGAACATAATCAATGTTATGGTCCTCTGCCCTCAGGATGTCAGCTAGGGCTACTTTCTCATCTGGAGATGAGGAACCTCTTTCAAGTTCACACAAGTTAGTGGTAGGATTCAGTTACTTTTTAACTCTTGCAGCATGGAGGCCACTAGCCCCTAGAGGCCACCTCTCTCCAGAGGCAGAAGCTGTGCCTCTTCACAGCCAAGAAGCAGCAGCTCCAGGAAAAGTCCACTTTCCTCTGCTAAGGGCATTTACCTGAGTATGCCAGATCTCCCCAGTATAATCTCAAGTTTTATTAACTTAGAATCAGTTGGTCTGGGACCCTGAATTATACCTGTAAAATCCCTTCCCCTTGGCTATGTAGCATAACCTAATCATAAAAGAGACATCCATCATGTTCAAAAGCCCCACTCACACTCAAGAGAAGGGCATGTTCATGTTCATGTTCACAGGGAGCATCTTAGGGAATTAGAATTCTTCCTACCAGATAGTTTAAAAGAATAATTGAGTATTTGGCAGCAACTAACAGGATTATAAAATGTCAGAGAAGAAAAGCTTACAAGGCGAGTTCCAGTTTCACCCTCACTTTCTCCTTTAGAGTCTTTTCCAAAAGATGACACAAAAATGGAAGCCAAGCAAAATATGGGAGCCTTACTGGAAGAAACAGATTGGAGTGCCGAAGCAGCTAGGATTTGGTTGTGGTTGGAGGGATTTGGCACTAGAAAGGGGGAACTACAACAAAGAAAACCTGAGAATTTCCCATTGGACCCATGGCCCTCACCTACACAGGCATGGCTTAGCAAAAGTGGCAAAAGGCTAAACAGATCAGAGGTTACCATTGCTGAGGAAACATTGAGATCAGGGTCCAGCCAGGACTAAGAGATCATCAAGAATCTCCCAGTCTGGAAAAGCTGTAACTCATCATGAGATTAGAGACAATTATTCACATTTCCAGCCAAAAACAAATATAAATCTGCTGTGGTGTTAGTTTTCCATCACTGTGGCAAGATACCTGAGATAATCAACATGTGAGGAAAGAGCTTTTTTTCTTTTTTGGTACTGGGGATTGAACTCGGGTCCTTGCACTTGCAAGGCAGGCCACCGAACCACTGAGCTAAATCCCCAGCCTGGAAAGAGCTTTTTTGGCGTAAGTTTCAGAGGTTTCCATCCATGAACACATAACCCTACTGATTTGGGTCATGAAGGCCCAGAACATCATGGCAAGAGCATGTAGCAGAGGATTCTTGTGGTCAAGAAGCAGAGAGAAAGGGGGAAAGGGCCAGGGTTCCAGTATCCTCTTGAAGGACACAATTCTGCTGACTTAAGAACCTCCTGCTAAGCCCCACTTCTTAAAGTTCCTGTCACCTCCCAATAGGACCACAGACTGGAGAACAAGTCTTTACTATGTGGGCCTTTGGGCAGTAGTTCAGATCCAAACTGTAGCAACCATAAAAGATGACAGCTTTATCCATGGCCTCAAATTATCATGAGAATTTTTATATATATTCTGTAGCACTCAAAAGTAACTAGGAACAATTTTTTAAAATATTGAACCAGTGGAAATGAAATGAAACCATAAACAAAAGATTTTGGAGTCTTAAAGCAAATTTTCATGTATAGTAGCTATGTCTACTATATTCAAGAAATTAAATGACAAGATGAAGAGTTTAGGTAAAGAACTGAAAAACTAAAAAGGAATGGAAATAATAGAACTGAAAAGTACAGCAAGAAAACCTGAGAATTTCCCATTGGAAATATTTTAACAATATTGAGTTAAAAAGCAAGTTAGATATAGCTAAAGAGAAAATCAATAGACTGGACAATAGTTTAAGAGAAAATATCCAGACTAAAAGATGAAAAACAAAAGGAAGAGCACGAAACACCTTCTAGAACATTCTGTTTTATCCTGAAAGTGTAACTGAAGTCCCACAAGGAAAGAAAAGGTTGGACCTGTAGGACTTTGAGGAAGCAACTTGCCTTAGTCCATTTTGTGCTACTATAACAACACCCAAGACTGGGTACTTTCTCATGACCAGAAATTGTATTTCTTCTTAGTTCTGGAGGCTGGAACATCAAGATCAAGTTGCCAGCATCTGGGGAGGCCCCTCTTCATCATAAAATATTGCAGAAGGGCTCATGTGTCCTTATAAGAAACTCTTTCCCGTGACAGTGCTACAAAGCCATTCATGAGGGCAGAGCCTTCATGGCCTAATCAGCTCTTAAAGTCCCTACCTCTTAGAACTAGCATGGTGGGTATTAAATTTCCCATACGTGCTTTTGAGGGAACATATTTGAACCATAGTACTACTTATATTCTTAGCTTCTGTGTTTTCTTTGGTAATTGAGTATGTAATCATCCCCCTATAGGTTTATTGAGTAAAATAAATGAGATAATATTTAAAGCTCTAGGCCCAATACCTTGCATATGGTAAACACAATAGATGGAAGTTACAGGACAGTATAATCATCATCATCCAACATCATCAAAACTGGAATGTGAAAGGAAAAAGTATGAAGAACAAAGTTACATGTGAACCAGACAGTCAAACCCCTTCAATAATTTCACGTTAACTGTCCATGCCATAGCAAATATCTTAAAAACAAAACAAAGACCAAAAGAACTTAGAAGATTAGTAGAACAGCTAATAAGGAAACCAACGCTTCCTGAAGTTTGACCCTTGACTTATAAATTCAATCAGTTCCCAAGGGCTGGTTGTAACCCAAGTTAGTTGTAAGTCAATACAACTGAGATCTGGATGTTTTACCTGGGTACACTCTATAGATAACAAGAGGCAGATGAATTTTCCATTAACCTCATTAACCCCAGTTGTTCATTTGTCAGGCCGATCATAACTTGAGGGTCCACTGTATTACACTGCAGAGTGGGGAGAGAGAGAGATGGAGAAAACATGCACGTGCCATGGGGGATAAAGAGTCACGGACAAAAACTTAGGCTGGTGGATTGATTTTAGAAGAGTTAGCACCACTGCTGAAGATAAATGTGCAGATTCTGCCAAGGTGCACAGATTCATGAAGAAGAAGTGGCTGATTGTGAATCTGCTTGAGAGAGAAAGTGAAGGAACATGATTTCAGGACCAGCACAGTAATTAGAACAGCAGTGTGCTAATTAAGGCTCATAAATTGAATGAAACTATTAGCATTTTCTCTTGCAAGAAAAGGTGGATCCCCCCCCCCAGGAAATGACACCTGTGAACAATTAGCTCTCTTATTATTGCTATTAAGATTATTTACATAAGATGCACTCACTTAGCACTCACTGCTGTTAAAGATTTTTTTTCCCAACCCCTAGTCTCACAGTTTCTGGTTAGGAAAATACTTTGGGGATTCTTGATAATTATTGATAATTAATAGCATAGCACAGATAGACATGACCACTATTATGGACCCCACTACACTGTTGTTTTACTGCCTTTGTGGGGAGTGTTTTTGTTTTCTTAATAGAAGAAAGGGGTTCAGGGGCCAGGGATTTAGCTCAGGGGTCCTCCCCCTGCCTCACAGGCGCAAGTCCTGAGTTTGATCCCCAGTACAAAAGAAAGGGGGGGATTCACAATCTTTGAGCATCTGAAGGAGACTGTTGGGCTGTGAACATAAGGAAAACAGCCTTCCCTGATGCCACCATCGGGGGCTCAGTGACCTGATGAGAAAACTTACCACATCTCTGCTCTGGGCAAGGGGGAAATCTGAGGAAGATATCAGGATAGGTTCATGATACAAACATGAATTTAAAAGATTCTATTATTGCCCTGAATAAAAATGGCTACAGTGGCCCTCTGAGGGTAAGAGTGCCAAGTAGAAAATTTCATATTGTGAGTTACAGAAAAACTAACCCATCAAGGGGAATTTTAGGTACACCTAACTGTATTTTAGACCTTTTGGGAAGGCTTACTTTAATGTCCCCATGGTTAAACCTGTTCAGTTGATGTGCATTGAGACCTGCAAGCACTGGGACCAATACCTTAATGTGCATGACACGCACACTCCACGTTCCCCTGGAGCTGACAGTGAAGAACACAGACATCAGATAAAAATACGGGAAGATGGCAAATGTCTGGGGAAAGTTAAAGTGCTGTGGTAGCATGTGACTGGGGTATATGTGGTACTTGGGATTGACTCACACTGAACTACGTCCCCAGACCTATTTTAATTTTTTATTTTGAGGTGAGGTCTCACTAAATTGCCCAAGCTGGGCTCGAATTCATGGCCTTCCTGCTTCAGCCTCCCAGAGTGCTGGGATTATAGGTGTGCACCACCATGCCCAGCTCACCCACTTGGTTTTAAGTGCTCAGAACGAGATGCTTACCCTAACTTGTGCCTCTCTGGCCCCGTCATTACTTCACTTCGATTAGTATTAACTTATGAACTCCATTCTCCCAGGCCTCTTCCTGTCTCTAGAATAATCCAGCTCCTGTCAAGGTCTACAAAGCTACTTTCCAGATAGCTCCACGGTCCAGCGATGGGGCCTTTATGAGCCAGCTGACTTCATGTGCCCATCCTATAACCCATGACTTTCTATAACAACCTGATCTTGTGGGAACAAACCAGGGTCCTGCAAGATCTACCTTAATCCCTTCCAGGGCAGTACCCCCGAGTGATCTAATTACATTGAGCCTTACCTCTTAGAGCTTCTCCCACTCAACAGTGCCGTCCTGTCACCAAGCTTCTGGAACATGTAGCTTTGGGAAACGAACCAAGCCATAGTAGAAGCTATGAAGACAGTAACATTTTTGTGATTGCAACAATTAGCTACGTAGAAAGACGGCTAAAAAAGTCTCCGGCTAAATTTGTTTTGTGTTTTGTTGGCTTTCTGACACAGGCTTTCGCTGTGTAGTTTAGGCTGTCTGGAACTCACTATGTAGCCCAGGCTGGCTTCAAACTCTCAGCGACCCTCCTGCCTCAGCCTGCTGAGTGCTGGAATCATAGGCATGCGCCACCATGCCCAGCTTTACAGTGAAACTGTATCAGGGCTGCCTTACCCAAAGAGGGCCACATTACCTCTTATCCTCTGTATACTTGGACATGTGATTCAGAGGCTCTAGTCAGTCTCCCCTGGCAACTTGTATTAAGAAGTCAGGGTGGCGGGGTTGCAGTGCATAGAGCAGCTCTGCACATCAGAGCAGACAAAGCCACCCTGCAGCCTGCAGTGAAGCAAACATTAAAACATAGCAATAGAGGTTGTGTGGCTCCAGTGAGGTAGGGAGAGGGACATTCATGATTGACTCACGGTCCCTCCAATACTGTCCTTGCTCACCATTCTTGGGTCCTATGAGACATCCATGTTATATTTCCAATAAATTACTCCTTTGACTTGAGCTAGTTTGATCAGATGTCTCCTCCTCCCTATAAGGAATGATTCCTGATGAAGGCAGCCCCCAGGCAGAGTCCTCATGGATCTGCTTTTCTTGGGGCAGACATCTGTTTTGTACTTTACTCTCAGAACACCACTTCCATAGCAGTAACATGGCATTTCTCACCTTGGGTCACGATTAATTGCTGTTTCTACCCTCCTTGCTGTGATTGGAAGTTCCTGAGTGCAGGAATGATTTCTTCTTCATGCACACGCCCCCAGAAGATGCTCAGAGCAAAAATGTACTAAGGGTGTGTTGCCTTGGATACCACGGGCGAGGTCAGGTTCAAGTGAGCTACTGAGCTATCATCAGCGAGTTTCTCCCAAGAAGAGGACCAAAGTGAGAGGAGGGACCAGGCTGCCTGGAAAATCAACTTTCCTTTCCTACTGCTTAGCAGATAAACAGACTCAAGGATTGTGACGATTAAACTTAAATGTCAACTTGATCAGCTTGGGAGCCACCTAGGAGATTGGTAACGCACATCTCTAGGTGTTTCTCTAGGATGGCTCATGGAGTGTGTGGCCCTTCACCCCTTTCTTTCTGGTGCTGTTCTGCTGCTGTGCCTCCTGGCCACACAATGAGCTAAGCAACTTCACGCCACTGTGTCCTTCTGCCATGATGTTCCTGCTTTGAAGCCAGCCAACCAAGGATTGAAACCTCTAAGACCATCAGCCAAATAAACCTGTCCTTGTTTAAGTTGTGGGCGTCAGGTATTTTGTCCTGTGATGAGAAAGCTGTACATTGTAAAAAGAATATATGAGTATGAAAACTACTAAAAGACCCTCAGGTCAGCAACCACCAAAAGAATTTGGTGGTGCCAGCATAAATGTATTTAAAGAAATTATAAGATGTACAAAAGAACCAGAAAAGTTGGCCCATAAGCAATAGAAACTGCCTATAACACAACCCAGATGTCAGATTTAACAAAGATTTCAGGGCAGCCACTTAAAATATTATCAAAGAAATAAAGGAAACAGTGCTTAAAGAAGAATAACAATGTCTCAAATAAAAAATATTCAGTGAAGAGGTAGAAATTATTTAAAAGAATCAATAGAAAGTCTAAAGTTGAAAAATATAAAAACTGAAATTAAAAAAAAGAAATACCTAGAGGGACTCCACCATAGATTTTAGGCTGGCAGAAGATAGAACAACAAGCTTAAAGGTAGATGAATAAAGATGATGCAACCAGAACACACAGAAAGAAAATGAAGAAAGATAAAAGAGTCTCAGAGACCTGCAGAACACTACTTAGGATACAAATGTGGGTAACTAAAGAATTAGAAGGAGGGAAATATATATATAGCTGCAAACTCCCCAAACACCATGAAAAATATTAATCTGCACATCTGAAGAACATAACAGAGTCCAAGTAAGAGAAACACATACAGGCATATAATAGTAAAAAAAAAAAAAAAAAAAAAAAAAAAA